TGAGTTACCTGACATAGATACTGGAAGTGGACTCAGACCCATCAGGGTCACCGTCCCTGAAGTGGGGTCAACTTTGTCTGACTCTTTCCCTGGACACAATCCTTGTCCTAAAATCCCTGATAGAAATTTGTCACAAAATTAAACGAGGCAGTGGTGGCACACGCCTTTAATCCCAACACTAGGGAAGTTTGAGTTCTCAGTGAGTTTGAGGCCAGCCTGGTCTACAGAATGAGTTCCAGGACAGGCACCAAAGCTACAGAGAAACCCTGTCTCAAAAAAAAAAAAAAAAAGCCCCCAAAATTTTACACTTTTTATTGTATGTGCATGCTTCTCTCTGTGTGTGCGCACACACGCGTGTACACACACCACAGCACAATAAGAGGGCATCTTGTGAGAGTCAGTTCTGTCCCTCTACCGTGTGAGTTCCAGGAATCAAACTCATGCCATCAGACTTGGCAGTAAGCACTTTAGCCGTTGAGCCAGCCCTCTTCCCTCCTTCCCTCAAGAGGGTTTAAAAGAAATGACGACAAACTGTGTGGAGTGGGAATACCTGTCTGTAACCCCAGCATTGAAGAGAGCAGGAGGCTGAGAAAGTCAAGGCCAGCCTGGGAAGCGTGAGACAACGTCAAAAAGAAGGGAAAGAGCTATGTATTTATTAAGAGCAAAAAATACGAGGGCCCAGCTCAGAGTTCTTTCAGAAGAAGACACCAGTCTGTGAACCAATTCCCAGAGGAGCATTCAGAGGACTTTACCAACAGTTCTTTCAGAGCTCCACAGTTCGGCTGACTACACATCACCTCTGAGCACCAAAGAGAATAATTATTACTTGAAAGTGTCCACAACCGGCCAATGAGCAAACGTTTCAGCTGGAAAAGTACTTTGGCTAATGATTAAACATCATCGTTACTGTCCTGAGTTTCTATTCATCGTAACTTCTAGCGAGCCGTGCCTAAGAGCACAGCACTTCAGTAACGTGTGCAGTCATGGCTGGCGTGTGTGTATTTGTAAGACTTTAAGACAATCCTGAAGCCATTTTTGACAATTCTGAATCCTCTCAGCCTCTGTGCCATAGTGCTTCCCCTCCTCCCCTGGGAACCAAGGACCTAACAGCTACACTTGCACGTACTCAGTTCCTGAACAATTACCCATATACGTATGCTTTGGTTCTGTCCCCTGGGAAACGAGGTCAAAATGACCTCTTACCTCATCTGATCTGGCAACAGCTCTCCAGTCAATTATTGGTAATAGCCCTTTCAAATAAGCCAATCAGAATAGTCAAAGAACAACCCCCCTTGCTTCTGTGGCCCCTTTAAAAGTAGACTGTTCCCGCTATTCGAGGTCCCTTGGCTTCCCGAATGCTGGGGGACCCTGTCATGACAGAATTAATAAAATCCTCATGCTTTTGCATCGGCTGTGGTGTGAGATGGTCTCTGGGGGCGACTCCTTCTCGGTGTTTGGACGCCAGAGTCCAACATATTGACTAAGTTCATACTCTTGTCAACCCTGTCTTGATGTCTCAGTCGTCAAGGCTTGGAAAATGTTTGTAAATTAAATAAGCAGAGGTACTTCTGATCGATCCCAGCAGGACTTTGTGACTGGTTGTTTGTCTTGATAAAGGGACCTTCACACTGCCGGAAAGAGATGGATAATTCGTGTAATTGTGTTAGGAAACATGGACTGTATATTCACTGATTTATTTCTTTATTTTTGTGGTGTTGGAGCTGGAACCCGGGGGGTGCGCATGCTAGCTGAGAGCTCTCACCGAGTTACACATACATCCCCCAGTGGGTTATTTTTTTTAATTAATTTATTTATTTAATGAAGATTTCTGTCTCTTCCCCGCCACTGCCTCCCATTTCCCTCCCCCTTCCCCAAAAAAGTCCCCCTCCCTCATCAGCCCAAAGATCAATCAGGATCCCTGCCCTGTGGGAAGTCCAAGGACCACACACCTCCATCCAGGTCTAGTAAGGTGAGCATCCAAACTGCCTAGGCTCCCACAAAGCCAGTACGTGCAGTAGGATCAAAAACGCATTGCCAAAAAATAAAAAAATAAAAAAAAACGCATTGCCATTGTTCTTGACCCAGTGGGTTATTTTTATCTTATTTATTTTGGTTTCGCTATGGTGTCGCTATGCAGTCCCAGTGGGGCTCAAACTCTCAATCCTGCCTCAGCCTCCCACATGCTGGGATTGCAGGTATGCTCCACCACACACAGCAGGGTTACATTAAAAAGTCATTGATTTAAAATCCCGATATCATGGTATGTTCTGATACTAACTCCACCTCAAATGACAAAATCATTTTCAAGAAAATCTAGACACGGACTAGGGACATAGCTCAGTGGTAGAAGCCTTGCCCAGCTTCTGCCAAACCCTAACGTCAATCCCTAGTACTGGAAAAGAGAGACAGAAAGTTATTTGCTTTCTGGATGAGAAATTTCTACTAAATATAAAAGTAATACAAGGTCTGATAGGTGTAACTAACTGGGTGTTAAAAAAAGGAAATCTGTAAATATAATATAATATAATATAATATAAAATAGAACTGGAGAGACGGGTCAGAGGTTAAGAGGGCTCGCGGCTCTTGCAGAGGAACGGATTTGGTTTCCCAGCACTCAGGTTGGATGGCTCACAACCGCCTGTAACTCCAGAGGGACCAATAGCCTTTTCTGGCTTCTGAAGGTATTCACAAATAAATGTGTGTATTTGCGAATCACACACATGTGAGCACACACACACACAAAGAAATAAACGTAAAAAAATCATTTAAAGGTTTGGGAAATGCACTCAGTGGCAGTAGAGTGTCCACTTAGTGTGCCAATGACCTTGGGATCCATTCCCAGAGGCAGCAAAAATAATGCTAAAATAAAATTATCCAAGTTCTGATGTTTTATTATATAATAATTATAGATAATGAGAATGCACTAATTTTAGGTTTATGTATTTTGCTTTATGTAATGCATGCTTTGCTGCCATGAATGTATGTGCATTACAAATCAGGTTGGATCCCCTCAGACTGGAATTACAAATGGTTGCAATCCAACATGTGGGCGCTGGGAACTGAGTCCAGGTCCTCTGCAAGAGCAACAAGGGCTTTAAACCACTGAGTCATCTCTCAAAAACCCCCAGTCCCCATTTTTTTTAAAGATAGAGTCTTAATAACTAACTGTGCAGCTGGGGCTGACCTTGAGTCCCCCCTGCCACCAGGTTCAGAACTCTGGGCCACCAGTTCACTAAAATGTCGTCACACAACGACTTATTGTTAATTTTGAAAGCTTGACTGATAGCTTAGTCTAGTTTTAACTAGCTCTTTTTTGTTTGTTTGTTTGTTTTTTTTTGACACAGGGTTTCTCTGTAGCTTTGGAGCCTGTTCTGGAACTAGAGACCAGGCTGGCCTTGAACTGAGATCCTCCTGCCTTTGCCTCCCGCATGCTGGGATTAAAGGTGTGCACCACTTATAATTTACATTAACCCATTTCTATTAATACACTTTCTGCCTTGTGGCTCTACTACCTCATCTCCATAGTGCCCATCCTGCTTGCTCTGCGTTTCCTGATGTCTCTGCCTTCTTCCCAGCATTGTCTCTGACCCAGAAATCCTGCCTAGCTGTTAGCCATTCAGCTTTTTATTAAGTGAGTCACAGTGACATATTTTCACACACTGTAAAGAAACATTCCAGAACATCTCCCCCCCCCTTTTGTCTAAACAAAAATAGGGATGGAGGACTGGAGGAAAGGCTTAGAGGTTAAGAACACTGGACTAGAGGTCCTGAACTCTAGAGGTCCTGAGTTCAATTCCCAGCAACCACGTTTTGGCTCACAACCATCTGTAATGAGGTCTGGTCTGACATACAGGCAGAACATTGTATACATAATAAATAAATAAATCTTTTTTTTAAATGCAAAGGTTTTAATTTTTGTTGTTTGTTTGTTTTGTTTTCAAGACAGGGTTTCTCTGTGTAGCTTTGAAGCCTGTTCTGGAACTTGCTCTGTAGACCAGGCTGGCCTCAAACTCACAGAGATCGGCCTGCCTCTGCCTCTCAAGTGCTGGGATTAAAGATGTGTGCCACCACTGCCCGGCAAAGGTTTTAACTTTAACAATGCAAAAACAGTTCCCAAACTCTGAATTGCTGGGTTTATAGATTCATTCTATATATTTTAAAAGCTAGAAAAAAAGATTTCTTTTTTATTTTTTATACATATGGGTATTTTCCAAGGGGTTTGTCAGTGCATCACTTGTGTGCCTGACAGGAGAGGCCAGGTGAGGGTATCAGATCCCTGGAACTGGAGTTAAAGAAGGTTATGAGCTGCCATGTGGGTGATGGGACCTGAAGCAGGGTCCACTGGAAGATCAGTCAGTGTTTTTCTTAGCATTGACTCATCTCTCTAGCCCCTAGAAGAAAAGGGTTTTTTTGTTTTGTTTTGTTTTGTTTTTCGAGACAGGGTTTCTCTGTGGTTTTGGAGCCTGTCCTGGAACTAGCTCTTCTAGACCAGAGATCTGCCTGCCTCTGCCTCCCTAGTGCTGGGATTAAAGGTGTGCGCCACCACTGCCTGGCTAAAGCTACATTTCTCGTTCAAGCTTTTTGACTTATCCAAGTAATCTGTCTTTATTGTTTGTTTACTCTTTAAGCAAGGTCTCGCTAGGTAACCCAGGCTGGCCAGTTTCCTTTGCCTCCACTGTTAATTACGGGTGTGACCCACCAGCCTTGGCTCAATCACTCATAAGATCAACCACGGAGCTAGTCACAAGCAATTTACCACACACAGATCTCAAGTTAGAAACCAGACTCCACCACACAGCAATATTCTGTCTCAGAAAAGAAAAAAAAAAAAAAAGACCAAACAAACAAAAACCAGAAGATAGGCAAACTCTACAAGTTCAGGAAACTGAAAGTGGCTGGACGTGGCCAGATTATTACAGTGTACGAAGAAGGGAGATGTGGCCCAGGGTAAAGGGCAGATGATCGATCAGGAGCTTGGCTGTTATCTCCTGATGACTCACCTGGAGAGAGATGGGCAGTTGTTCAGATGTGTGGAGAAATTCCTTCAGTATTAATATGGAGGACTGGACCTGAGCTAACACGGTGCGGAGATGGCCATGGAAACAGGGACCAGGTTTGAGAGTTGTTAGGAGCTTAGAGAGGAGATTTGGGATGACTCCCACCTCCCTGATCTGGTGACTGTCAATTGTCCCACTCAGGAGGGCAGGGAGTAAGGACTGGGAGGAGCCTGGCTTGGAGATAGAGTGAGTCTGAGGCCCTTGAACTACACAGAGACGTAGATACTGGCACAATGAAAGACATTATATCTGAACCAGGCATGGCGGCCTGTGAGTTTGAGGCCAGCCTGGACAGGTGGATCTCTATGAGTTCCAGGCCAGATACCAAAAAAAAAAAAAATTCTGAAGTATAACTAGGTAGCTAAATGTTGTGGAATTTTTTTTGGGCCGGTGTTCACCGAGTTTTACTCTCTTTTTTTTTTTTTTTTTTTTTTTTTTTTTTTTTTTGGTTTTTCGAGACAGGGTTTCTCTGTAGCTTTGGTGCCTGTCCCGGAACTAGCTCTTGTAGACCAGGCTGGCCTCGAACTCCCAGAGATCCGCCTGCCTCTGCCTCCCAAGTGCTGGGTGGGATTAAAGGCATGCGCCACCACCGCCCGGCTAGCATTTATGTACCTTAAAAGAGAAGAAAGTTGATATCCTCTTCTAGGACCCATGAGCCCCCACACATGTAGTATACATTCCTTCAGACACACACTCATACACAGAAATAAAAATAAATGCAGGGGAAAAAAAACCTCCCACAAATAAGCAAGCAAGATGGTGGAAAAGCCTGTAGCCTCAGTCAGGTGGTGGTACACACCTTCAGTCCCAGCCAGCACTTGGGAGGTAGAGGCAGGTGGATCTATAAGAATTTGAGGCCAGCCTGGTCTACAGAGTGAATTCCAGGACAGTCAAGACTCTGCTACACAGAGAAAGAGAAACCCTGTCTCAGGCGGGGGTTGGGGAGGAGGAGAGCAGGGGAGGAGGAGGAGGAAGAGGAGGAGGAGGAGGAGGAGGAGGAGGAAGAGGAGGAGGAGGAGTACTTCTTACCTGGGTGTGGCACATGCCAATAAATCCCAGTACTTTGGAGGCTGAGGCAAGAAGAGGAAGGAGTTACACAGTGAGTTCAGTGAGTTAGAGCGCGGGATGAACTATTTAAGTCTTATCTCAACAACAGAAACAGAAAACAGGAGCTGAAAAGATGGCTCATGGATTAAGAGTTTTTTGTTGTTGTTTTTTGTTTGTTTGGTTGGTTGGTTTTTCGAGACAGGGTTTCTCTGTGGCTTTGGAGCCTGTCCTAGAACTAGCTCTGTAGACCAGGCTGGCCTCGAACTCATGGAGATTCACCTGTCTCTGCCTCCCAAGTGCTGGGATTAAAGGCACGTACCACCCACCCGGCTCTTTGTTATTCTTGTAGAAGGCCTGTATTCAGTCCCCAGTTCCAAACGGAGGCTCACAAGCACCAGAAATTCAGTTTCAGAGGATCTAATGCCTATTGTGGCCTCCATAGGCACCAGGCATTAGTGCAGTGCGTGCTTGCCCCCTCCACATGCACGCATCCAAAAGGAGCCCCTCCACAAGCCCCACAGATACAGTGAAACCAAGAACAAAGCGAAACAACCCCACACTAAGCTCTGCACTTGCCAGTTCAGCAGATACGATGAACAATGACGCACTGAAATGAGGCTGGGGTAGAGGCAGAAGTGGGGTTTGGACACCACGAAGGTGGAGCAGAGGGACGATAGGGGAGTGATGGGTGCGAGACAGAGTCATATTTGGTCAGGTGTCTAGGACACCTCACTGGGCCCTACCCTACTCTTCCTCATGGGCGGAGCACCTCACGCTTGGCACGGTGGCCAGAGGGGAATGTGCTGGCTCCCTTCCCACAGCAGTGGCTTCCCACCGCTCCTAGGGAGAAGCCCTACTTCTCAACACCCAGGACGTTAGCTTCTCTGGCCACACTGGACAAGGCAGGATTATCTTGGACCACATTAAATACACAAACACTGAGGAAAGCTGACTGGGGATGGTGATGGTGTTAGTGTGTAATTTGTATGATATCTGCTACTACAAGTAAGCAAAATTTCCTCACCTAATAATCATAATTATGGGGCTGGTGAGATGCTCAGAGGGCAGAGGTGCTCATTGTCAAGGCTGTCATCCTGAGCTTGATTCCTGGAACCCATCTGGTGAAATGAGAGAGCCGACTCCCACAGGATGTCCTCTGACCACATGCGCGCGCGTGCGCACACACACACACACACACACACACACACACACACGCACGCACACGCACTAAATAAATCTCTCCTCCCAAAAAACTCCAGTTATGCAGCCCCCTTATTCAATAACAGTCTTTTAAATTATTTTAACCGATTCCCAAGTTTGTAATCACTAACAAAGAAAATGAGTACACCTGAGTAATGAAAGCTCACTGCTCGCTGGGCAGTGGTGGTGCAGGTCTTTAATCCCAGCGCTCGGGAGGCAGAGGCAGGCAGATCTCTGTGAGTTCAAGGCCAGCCTGGTCTACAAGAGCTAGTTCCAGGACAGGCTCCAAAGCTACGGAGAAAGCCTGTCTCGAAAAGCCAAAAACAAACTGTTTGGTTGGAAGTATCACCTCAGCCCCTAACATCCTTATAACAAAGAGTCTGGAATGTTTAGGTGGAAAGTTCCATTCCAAGCCCCCTTCCCCTGGGTGTTACCTCAGTCCAGACTTCACCTCTGAGAAAGCCTGCCAAATGATGACCCCTTCCCAGAGATGCTCAAGACCACTCCCACAGGGTATTTAAACTGCCCCCAGAGAACAGAACAAACACGTGGTTTTTCTGGTCTTCCTTCCTGTCTCTTCTCTGAGGTCTGGAATGCCACCTGGAAGCTCAAGTATCCATTAAACCTGGGATTCTTCTAATTTGGTTTGATTTGGTCTGATTTGGATTATTGCGTTGGCGGAGTGGTTTATTGAGATGTAAAAACTTTTCACAAGCAAACAAACGAAAGTATAAGAAACGCCAGCACAAGACTAGGGAGGCACATGACATTGCATTTGAGATGCTAAGGTGTCTGTTGGGCACAGGGGTGCATGCTACTCTCCCGGAGTCCAGCAGCACTCCTCACATTTCGGTTCTAATTTACCCTTGCTCTCATTTGGTGTCGCCAGAAAGCAACCATCCGACTTCTTCAACATTCAGACTCTATGCAATGAAAATTGGAAGGTGAGCCTTTAGTCTCAGTACTCAGGAGGCAGAGACAGGTGGATCTCCATGAGTTCAAGGCCAGCCTGATCTACTAAGTGAGTTCCAGGACAGGCTCCAGAGAAACCTTGTCTCAAAAACCAAAAACCTAAACAAACAAAAATGTTAAATATGTCCAGGTGGTGGTGGCATATGCCTTTAATTCCAATACTTGGGGGGCAGAGATATGTGGATCTCAGTGAATTCAAGGCCAGCCTGGTCTATAAAGCTAGTTCCAGGACAACTAGGGTTGTTATACAGAGAAAACCTGTCTCGAAAAACCAAAAAATAAAAATAGTTACAAAAATGGCCAGTGTCCTATAGAACAGTAGAAACATAGCTTCTATTTCCACCAGATAGTAATTTTTTTTTCGAGACAGGGTTTCTCTGTGGCTTTGGAGCCTGTCCTGGAACTAGTTCTGTAGACCAGGCTGGTCTTGAACTCACAGAGATCCGCCTGCCTCTGCCTCCCAAGTGCTGGGATTAAAGGCATGCGCCAATTATTTGTATCTTGCTGAACATAGCAGCACACACGTGCCTGCTCAAGCAGGCTGAAGTAGGGTTGGGAGCTGGAGTATGTCAGCATAGTAAACTCTAGGCCAGGCTCAGCTACAGAGTGAGGCCATCTTCAAACAAAACAAAACAAAACTTTTTCCATTGGACGACTACCTGCAAATTACCATGTAACTTCAGGTATCTGGGCTATAATCACAGGACAGAGCAAAGTCAAAGTGGATTCTTTGTTCTAGATACCGAATAACCCTCGGTGAGCCTGTCCAACCAGGCCAACCAACACTGAGGAGGTGTGAGGTCATTGGCTTCGTCTTCAGGTCTGGGGTTCTCTCCAGCACCGAGGCTGCCTGCAGGGAAGCAGATGGGCAGAGTAATGCTCTAGAGGTGTAAGCCCGAGATGAGAAGGGAAGCCCGAGGAAGTTCGTGAAGTGAGGTAAAAAGGAGAAGTGGCCAGATGTGGTCCAGGGAGGAAGGAGACAGGAGGAACAGGATTCTGTGTGGGAGAAGCTGAGGTATCTCAGTCCTGAATGTTTTAGCACGTGGGGTGCGGGGAAGCAACGGCCTGCTGGGGTTCCCACTTAAAGAGCTATGCACTGTCCACATGGCTGCGGGCTTCTGGCTTCTGCAGTATTAGTGGAGAAGAAGGGCTATGGTGAGCAGAGATTGTCGAACTTGTCGGGACTGTGTAGAATCACAACATTGGGGGAATTCGTGGAAAGCAGCAGGTGTTGCTTCTGTTTAGCCTGGTCACTGTAGATCATCACACTGGCAGCCAGGAAAGACAGCCTGACTCGTGGAAGCAAGGACGTACGGGAAGCCAGGAGGACTGATTCTAGGCCAGGCCTGACTCTGGTTCCCTCAGAGCCTGCCGCTGTGGGTACCTTGTAGTAGATGCCGACCTCCTTTAGCTGGTGGGTGTGTGGCTCAGACCTTGGAAACTCGAGGAATTCTGTTAGGAGGTAGAGGAGCTGTGGGCCTGGTGTTGCATATGGGCTAGCACCCTAGTAAGACTGCCTATGGGACTGGGTGGTGGCGCACACCTTTAATCCCAGCACTCCGGAGGTAGAGGCAGGTGGAGCTCTGTGAGTTCGAGGCCAGCCTGGTCTACAGAGCTAGTTCCAGGACAGGCACCAAAGCTACAGAGAAACTCTGTCTCGAAAAGCCAAAAAACAAGCAAGCACGCAAGCAAGCAAATCACAAAATTAGACAAATAGTATGTATGTTTGACAGATAACCTAGACTCAGAACAAATAGACAAAACAGATAATACTAAGCAAGAATCTCTAAATATGGNAAAAAAAAAAAAAAAAAAAAAAAAAAAAAAAAAAGAAAGAAAATGACAATGACAAGGCAGATTAAACACAACACTGAATTGTAGAAATGAGTTTTTATTCCTTTCTGAAAAATTTAAATTCACAGTCTGTTCAACAGATTGTATTCATAAATTGCATCCATTTCGAAGTACATAACTGTTATTATGACAGCCACAGATATTCTAGATAATGGAAATCGTAGATGTGAAGTCCAAGGTAATAGAGGACATGGGTCTCAGTATGAAAGCAGGTCCTGATTCATTAATATTCACTCACTGCCTGCCTCTCTGTGCGTCTCTGTTGGGGGCGGGCCCTGATTCTCGTCCAGTTTTCAACTCTCATTATTCTGTTCGCGTTTTCCTAAACAACATCAAATATCTTTTCCAAGGTTTCCGTTGGTGACAACCATTTGTCATAGGGCAATGTAGTTCTCCAAATATATAAATGTTGAAGACAGAGGCGGAGAGGAAGTTAGTCCAGACCGCTCCAGAGACGGGAGGCGACAGCCTGACGGATCGAAGGACACCCCAAAGGAGGCTCTGGTCGCGGGGCTTGGGCGGGCGGGGGAGCCCCCCTCCTCTAAGTGGGCTGGTGGGCAGGTGCAGCGGCTCAGTTAGCCTTTTCACTGCTCGAGTTAATTTTTAATATTCTTTGGGTAAGGTAAAACACGAAGACAACTCAGACAGGGTGACAACTTCCTTGCCAGGTCTAGTTTCTACAGCCCTCGCTCTTTGTTCCCAAGTCTCCTCCCTCGTCTTTGTCTGGGAAGAAGGCTCCGGGATGATCACGTGACACGCGGGGGTGGGGGCGCGGCGGTTCCTGGGTGTTGGGGACCAGGATTTCCCCTTTGTTTTGGTGGCTAATGTGGCTGCGTAATCGCAGCCCTGGAATTTTCTTTCCTCTCACCAGTTTCTTAGCTCTCTGTGGCTTTAAGGTCAGTGAAAACTTTTTTAAAAAGCAGCGCTAAGCTACGAAGGTTTGACTCGGGAAAGCGATTTTGTCCAGTTCATTCTAAAGCTCGCACTCTTATCGGCCCCAGATGTTGAAAGAGCGCACACCGCTTAGTGTTCATAGGAAAAGCCTCAAGCCAGCGCTGGCAGCATCCCTGTCCTTCTGCAGCGAGCTCACAGAGATTCACCTGCCTCTGTCCCGAGTGCTGGGATTAAAGGCCTGAGCCACCATCTCCCCGCTGAAACAAAAGTTTTTTTCTGAGATGTTTGGCTCCGCTGAAATTGCATGCCAACTGTCTCGGTAGGGAGGGTGGTGACAAGGCCCAGAGGGTTGTGGTGGTAGTTGCTGCTGAGTCTGACAGCTCAGTGTTAGATCCCTGGAAGACACATACACGGTGGAAGGTTAAGAACTGGTTCCCGTACGATGTCCTGATGTCCTGTGACCTCCACGCTGGTGATGTGGCACAGGCTCAGAGCGGACTACAGTTATGGGTTGTTTTTTGTCTGGAAGAAGTAAGTGGCTAGCCGGGCGATGGTGGCGCACGCCTTTAATCCCAGCACTCGGGAGGCAGAGGCAGGCGGATCTCTGTGAGTTCGAGACCAGCCTGGTCTACAGAGCTAGTTCCAGGACAGGCTCCAAAGCCACAGAGAAACCCTGTCTCAAAAAACAAAAAAAAAAAAAAAAAAAAAAAAAGAAAAGAAGAAGAAGAAGAAGAAGTAAGTGGCTGTAATATGCTGTTTCTAAAGTCGTGAGCCTGGGGATGAGGTAGGGAGGGTTGAGACTTAGAAAACCATCTTCTGTGTAGGCCAGAGGGAGGCTGTAAAATATTCAAAATATACATCTCAGACCCTGAACATGGCCAGTGAGGTCAGGCAGCCTAAGACTAAATTCTCCCCTGCCCTACATAGAACAACCTGGGAAAGACAGTGCAGGGCTGGAGAGATGGCTCCGCTATTCAGAGCACTGGCTGCTCTTCCAGAGCACCTGCGTTCAGTTTCCACCACCCACATGGCAGCCCATAACTGTCTGTAACTCTGGTTCCAGGGCATCTGACCCCTCTTCTAGCCTCAGCAGGTACCGGTCATGCCAGGTAGTGTGTTGGTTATACATGCAGGCCAAAGCACCTCAAACAGTGTTCTTTAAAGTAGGCTGTATAAAGCCTCCTTTGCGTGTCATATTCCAGAGAAAACCAGTTAGCTTTTTTCCCCATGGCCTTCAGAGTGGGGTGTGGTGGCAGAAAAACTAAGAAGCCCTGTTAACCCCCATGCTTCTGTCTATGTTAAAAACCTCTTCCTACTCTGCTTCATCGAATCCCCCCCCCCTCCCCGGGGGTATAGATTGGTGGTAGAACCCTTGCCTGGCACGTGTGAGGTTGTGGATTCCTCCCCACCACTGCAGAAGTCAAATCAATCAATCATTTGGGGTTTGGTCGCATGGAGAGTGGTCTCTGTGCAGAGAATGGGAGGTGTGGTGGGTGGCAAAGCTGTATGAGAAGGGTGTGGAAAAATCTAGACTGGAGCTTGGCCCCCTAGTCTGATACTGTAGTCCCAAGTTCACCATCAAATTGTTTTATTGTTGCTGCTGCTTCTTTTTTTCTTGAGGTCGGTTTTCACATAATCCAGGTTGGTCTGGAACTCAAACTACAGCTGATAACCGTGAACTCCTTGTCCTCTGCCCCCAACAAGTGCTGGGATCTTAGGTCCACAACACCTGCCTGTTACTCTCATGTACTCCTCGTAGATCTCCCGTTCCCTTCTTCCACCTTCGCATGGGTGCGTTCCCAGGAACAAACTCTGGGGACTGTCTGGGAACTAGCTCTGTAGACCAGGCTGGTCTCGAACTCACAGAGATCCGCCTGCCTCTGCCTCCCGAGTGCTGGGATTAAAGGCACACGCCACCATCACCCGGCCCGGGGCTTCTTTTTTAAAGATTTTATTTTTATTTATTTATTTATTTATTTATTTATTTATTTATTTATTTATTTATATGCAGTGTTCTGCCTACAGGTAGACAGCAGGCTAGAAGAGGGCACCAGATCTCATTACAGATGATTGTGAGCCACCATGTGATTGCTGGGAATTAAACTCAGGACCTCTACAAGAGCAGCCAGTGCTCCTAACCACCGAGTCAACTCTCCAGCCTGACTTTCTTTTAGGAAAGTATTGTAGGATATTTTTAAGATTCTTGACTATCACTCACTACATCTTTTATTATTATTATTATTATTAATACTATTACTATTATTATTTAACTTAATTTTATGTGCTGTGGAGTTAGAGTCCCTGGAACTGGGGCTACAGACAGTTGTGAGCTGCATGCTAGGAATCAAACCCAGGACCTCTGGAAGAGCAGCCAGTATTCTTAACTACAGAGTCATATTTCCAGCCCCATGCTTTTTTTAAAGTATAAATTTATTTTTTGTTTGTTTATTTACTTATGTCTGTTCGTGGGTGTGTACACACATGCCATGGTGTGTGTGTGTGTAGAGGTCAGAGGACAGTGGGAGTCATTTCTTGCCCTCTACCATGTGGATTCAAGGGATTGAATTTAGATCACGTCAGGCAGTGCAACACATGCCTTGACCTTCTGAGCCACGCTGCCAGCCTTCTGGCTTACGTGTGGTGGGAAATGAAGGAGCACAACAAACTCCATTTTGAAAAAAGAACTCCATTTTAGACAGGGAATAACTAGGGGGCGGAATGCTGTCCAGCGAAGTCATAAACATTCCCAAGAAACTGTGCCTGCCCTGGTCAAAGTGACCCACCCACCAGGGTACTCAAACAACATGTTTATATCTGCTTGCTTCAAACGTCCTTGTAGGTACCTGATTAACCACATTTGCCTCTGCGGTTAGCACAGGGTCAGCAGATGTCTGGAGGACATAACCAGGGGGGCTATGCTATCCCCCTTAGATCCTAACAGCCGAGCTTTACCTCACCTTTAGACAATGGAGATATAGGATAAGTAATTTTGTATTTTGAGACTGTAACTTTGTGACTGCTTTGTGGTTTTTGTTTTGTTTAACCCCTTACAATAGTAGACAGGGTCCTTCTCCCTCCGTCTGCTGTGTCAGACTGTAAGGCAGAAGACCCGTGCTAGCCTGTACTTAATAAACGAAACCTTGCTTTTGCATTTGGAAGTGTGGCTCTGTGGTCATGTTCTTGGAGGTCCTTGGACTCAGGCACTACAGAAAATGTCTCCAAACGTCCCTCGATTAAGAAGTCCTGCCCCGGAGAAGTTCGCTCCAGGGATTTCTCCACACTGGGTATTGGCGCTGATTGGCGTTGGTCTAGTCACCAGGACAAAATGAGTAACTGGTGTCAGTTTCTATGGAGCTTAGCCCTGTTTCCTTGTAGTTCTTGGAACTGGGGAGATGGGGTCTCCTTTGAGGCCCCAGGCTTCACTGAGTCTGCTTTATATTTGTTCTAGCCAAGTTCTTCCTCCCGGGAAGAGTCAACAGGACCATGCCCACCGCAGCCAGCGCTCTTCCCCTAGACCACATTCTGACACAAAAGTTCCCTGCGTGAGTCAACTCTACTCTCAAGATTTACAAGGCCTCTGACTTACTGCTTCAGCTTCAACAAGCTGGAAGGCAAGTAGTTGTGTATGAATAAATAAAAAGACAGGAAAAAAAAAGATTTACAAGGCCTCCTCTTTGGGTCACTTCTCTTTACTGTGGGCCACGCCTCAGAAAGGCCCAAATGGGGCCAGTAGGTGTGTTTTGTGTTTAGTGGTTGTCGTTGATATAAGTGATATAGGTACAGCTAGCCATATTTTGAAAGTGTTAAAAAAAAAAAAGGCCTTCCCCCAGCCCCCAGGCATTTAACAAAATGTAGTTGAGGGCGCTGGAGGGATGAGTCAGCCATTAAGGGCACTGGCTGTTCTTCCAGAGGACCCAGATTCCATTCCCAGCACCCACATAATAGCTAACAGCCATCTGATTCCAGCTCCAGGAAACCCCACACCCTCCTCTGGCCTCTGAGAATATTTCACATGTACTACATAGACTACATACAGGCATTATACCAATACACATAAAATAAAAATAAATTTCTTTTTTTTCTTTTGAGACAGAGTTTCTCTGTGTAACAACCCTGGCTGTCCTGAAATTTGCTTTGTAGACTGCTGGCCTCAAACTCTCAGAGGTCCTCCAGCCTCTGCCTCCAGAGTGCTGGGATTAAAGGCTTGTGCCACCACGACCTCCCTAGGAGGCAGCACTAACTCACTGCCAGCTGAACACTTTTTGAACCCCCTCGCCCCCACCACTCCTGGGTAGGTAGGTGTCTTTGCTGTTTCTCTCTCAATGACATGACACATAATGCCACCCTCTCAGGCAAGGACTCTGGCCAGACATTGCTTAGTGAGAAGTCGCCTCCGCAGGGAAGTGACTGGAAGAGGTGGGATGAATCACCCTCCTGATTCTGAACCCTCACAGCCTGCTGCTCCCATCTTGGCTAATTTCTGACCGATTTCACCTGGCACAGGTGAATCTCCATCGAAAGGGTTCCTCCCGGGCAGAGGGCAGCTGACTCATGGGGCTTCCCCGGAGAGCAAGGCTAGCCTCACACGGGGCTGGATCAATGCCTGTAAACTTCAGTCCTTTGACTAAATTACTGAGATCTGTGAGAAAAGCAGTGCAGTCAGCTGTGTCCTCTGCTTTCTCCTTGGCCAGATCCTGAGCGGATCCGATGCCTGCCAGCCCCTCACTTCAGTGACCGAGACGTTTCTTCAACCTGGTAAAGACTGGGAACATCTGGAAAAAGGAAGATTTTTAAAATATTTTTATCTGTTCATTTTATATTTTTATAATGACAATTTCACTGACATTTTTATAGATATATAAAATTTTGATCATATTCCCCCTCCATGAAGCCCTCTTCCTACCCTCCAGTTGTAGCTGATGGCTTTCCTCCTAGCTAATCACTCTTTGATGTGTGTGTCCCAAAGCTCAATGAGTTTCATCAGGGTGACTCACAGGAGCACAGATGATGACAGTTTATTTATCTGAGCATGGTCACTTTACCCATGACCTCATCACTGAAGAAAATATCTCGCCCTCCCCCAGCTCCTCAGGATGAGTGGAGGTCTCAGAGCCCCTCCCTGCCCCGCCCCGTAGCAGGATGCCTGCGGGCTCTGTTTCCCGTTGGTCTGGAGCAGGTAACCAATCACAGGCTCTGAGTTAAAGAGCTGTGGTCCAGAGGCCTGGGAAGACAGTTCTACCGCACTCCACTCCGCTTCAGCTCCCCAGTTCTTTCCCTTCACTCCTTCGTCTGTTCCCTGAGCCTTGGAGGGCTATTATAGGACTTCCTACTCGATAGTCACTTAGTCTCAGCATCTTGACCAGTCATGAGTCTGCAGTATGGCTACCTACTGTGAAAGGAGGTTAATTCTTTTGGTTTGGTTTTGTTTTTCCAGACAGGTTTTCTCTGTGTAACAGTCCTGGCTATCCTGGAACTCAGTGTGTAGACCAGGCTGCCAGGCTGGTCTCAAACAGAGATCTGTCTTCCTTGTGTGTGCCACCACACCTGGTCAGCACACACACACACACACACACACACACACACACACATCTACTATAGATGGTTGTGAGCCACCACGTGGTTGGGAATTGAACTCAGAGCCTCCGGAAGAGCAGCCAGAGCTTTGAACTCCTGAGCCATCCTTCCAGCCCCTTATTTTGTTTCTTAAGACAGGGTTTCTCTGTGTAACAGCTCTGGCTGTCCTAGAACTTGATTTGTAGACCAGACTGGCCTCAAACTCACAGAGATCATCTTATCTCTGTCTCTGCCTCCTGAGTGCAAGGTGTAAGATACCACTACCTTTTACTTATATATTATATTTATAATAATTTTACTTACTGTACACTCATGCGTGTTTGCTTACACGAGTATAGGTGTCTGTGGTAGCTAAAAAAGGAACTGGATCCCCTGGAGTTAGAGTTACAGGTGGTTGTGAATTGTCCCACATGGGTGCTGGGAACGGAACTCAGTGCAGCTGTTCTTCAAAGCCTGTAGACACAGAACGGAGCACAGTGTGACATTTTAGTTCTTGTGTACAACGGTATGACAACGGTGACAGTGGTGGACGCAGGAGAATCAGGAGTTCAAGGACCAAGTTCAACTCCTTGGTGAGTTCAAGGTCAGCCTGGTCTACAGGAAACAGCATTTTAAAAAAAAAACGGAACAAACAAACAACACTAAAACAAACAAGCAAACAAACTGAAATCAGGTAGTGATCAAATCAGGCCATTTAGCATAAACTCCCATCTCAGATAATTCTTTGTGGTCTGAACATTCAAAACCTCTCAGCCGGGTGGTGGCGGCAGCGCACGCCTTTAATCCCAGCACTTGGGAGGCAGAGGCAGGCAGATCTCTGTGAGTTCGAGACCAGCCTGGTCTAAGTTTCAGGACAGGCTCCAAAACCACAGAGAAACCCTGTCTCAAAAAAGCAAAAAAAAAAAAAAAAAAAAAAAAAAAGATAAGAAAACAAAACCTCTGTCTCTTGGTGATGTGGAACAGGGTCTCATGTAGACCAGGCTGGCCTCACACTCACTGTCTGACTCAGGATTGTCTTAACTGCCGAGTGCAGTTTCCTTGGAAGGGTCTCACGATTGTCAAACTAAAATGCCCCATATCAACACAGGTAAATGGCCACGAGGAAAAACCGGATGGGACGGGTTATTCCTTCTTCTACAGAGAAGGCCTGGAGGTTCCCTTCAGCTCGCTCTTTTACAGGATGATAAACCCCGTTTACCTTCAGGGTTCCCGTGGAAGCTAAAAGAGCCAGAGACGTCCATAAATGGCTTGGAAGTTCCTGTTGAGAGTCTGTGCTCACGTAAATATCACACTGAGAAGTTTACAGCAGGGACACACAATAAAGTCTGACGTGAGCCTTCCCAGCATGCAGTGCAGCTCAATGGAGCCCATTCAAGTCCCTGAGAAAAACAAGGAGAGAGGCTGGAAGGAGTGGGTGGAACCAGAAGGTTCTAGGTCAAGAGTATGATCTGCACCAGCAAAGTGAGGTATCATGGCCTTGGGCCCCACGCCTGTGGAAAGAAAAAACCTGAAACAGAGCTGAGGTAAACTCCATGGAGTTCAGCCCAGTGTACACTCGGCGCTGCCGAGGTGAAGCGAAGGCTTCGTGGGAGTCTGGGACCGGACACTAGAGTGAGGTCACCACGAGTGAGCTAGACAGAAACAGTGGTTGGCAGAGGGCTGCCTACCAAACCTGGCCAGGTGTGTTGTTGTTCTCTGGGTACAGACACTTGGGTGACCCACTCTCCAAAAGCTGGAGTCCGATTTAAAGTTCGATGCCTCGGGGGCTTTCCCCTTATTAAATGTGATCGTGTCATCCATCATGAATGGTGAATGGGTTTCTTACCTCCCCTTCTCTCCCCTTCCTTCCCTTCCCCTCCCCTCTCCTCCCCTCCCCTCCCCTCTTCTCCCCTCTACTCCCCTTTTCATTCAGACTTCTAGCGGAGAGCATACCCTGCCACCTGAGCCGCAGAAGTCAAACCGGAGGAAAGCAGGCTGAATGGAAATGCCCCAAAGCGCCAGGGAAAAGGCGCAGGTTCCAGAAGTGTCCAAAAGGCAGAGGGAGGCCAGGGTGAGCTCACAGTCCCCCAAACAGCAGTGTCGATGGTCCAAAGGCGGCACTGGGGAAGGGCAAAGAATGTCCGACACAGGAAATTCTCTGGCTCTTCTTAGGTGGGGCAGTCCCGATCCCCCCACCCCCACCCCCGGCTCTGGCTACAGGTCTAGGTTAGGAACAAGTCAGAACTGTCAGTACTGAGAAGTGGGGCAGGGGTGGGTAGCCGTGGGGGAATCCAGGCAGGGAGACTGGGCCCCAGGTTAGAGCTGCTTGTATTTCTGGGACCAGAACTCCGGAATCAGGAACTGGCTTTGACCTGACTTCAAGGTAGAATTAAAAGCAGGTGTGCTGGACAAGCTGGGTACTTCCCAAGAATGTTTGCCCTGCCCTACTCCCTGATGCCTAGCATTCCTTCGACAGGGAGCCAAGACTTGCAGAGCAAACTTAAAATGGCGTGGGAAGAGAAACCAGAGAGAGGAAGAGGAAGTGTTGTGCGCACGTGTGTGTGCGCGTGTGTCTTTGCGAGTGGGTCTTTGCATCTGCCGCGTGGGATAGTCTGGTTTTGCTCCTGCCTGTCCCTATGAGGAAATAAAACGGCTTTCCGTAGCACAGAGGAAGCAGAATCGTTTCCAAGTGGCTTTAGGTTTCCCAGATTTAGGCGGCAGAGGAAAACAAGGGCTTTTCCCCCTGGGCAATATTATGAAACCAGAGCGTGGCACCAAGTCCTCCCGTCGTTCTTGCCGTTCTAAAATGCAGTGCTGTCCTCTGCTGGCCGTACCGCGGTATAGCGGCTGGAAAGTGCGCGGGGGGGGGG